TGGGCTGCAGCATGCCCCGCACAGGAACCCATCTCCCGCCACTGCTCCCAGCTGGAGTTCACCTCCTCCCCAGCTCTGCCCCAGCTCCCCCTCACTGCTTCCTGAAGAGATAACCAGTACCAAGAGACCCGCCCCTGCATCCCAAACTGACTCATGAACCCCCCGCCCCTGCATCTGGGCCAGCGCTGCCCCCCCTTCACCCCCAGGCAGGGCCAAGTGGGTGGGGGGAGCAGGGAGAAGAGGGGCTGGCAGAGGTTGGGGATGTTAGTGCTTTAGAAACACTCTCCCCACCCTTGGAGCATGGGCCTGGATGGGTCCCTGTCACCAGCCAGACTGTCCCCTCAGGGCAGGTTCCTGGGGGCCTCGCATGCTGGGTTCCTGCGAGCCTGCCCCAGCAGGCTCCTGGCTGCCAGGGCAGACAGCCACACACCCTGCCCTGTCTGCTAACCCCACTGCTGTTGCTTAGTGTGACAAAGCTCTGTAAGGTGTTTATGAGCTGTCTGCATCATTCTGCACCTAGCACCCTGGCACAACTACCCCCAGGGGCAAAGAATTCATTCTCTCCCTAGGCCATGGGAGAGCTGGCCAGGGATCTGAACAGAGTTGCTAGGACTTTCTGGGCTGGAATCAACATATCTGAGCAGCAGATCCTCAGTGCCCGGAGACAGACACCTGGTTCCGAGGCAGGTGAGCACAGCGTGGCTGGGTCCGGAGAACAAAACCAGGTGGCTGGGGGGAGAGCCTATGTCTACACTGCAATAAAAGACCTATGGCCCAACCCCAGCTGACCCAGGTCAGCTGACTCAAGCTGTGGGGCTAAAAATTGCAGTGTAGATGTTTCGGGCTGGGGTTTATGCTCTGGGGCCCTCTCCCATCGTGGGGTTTCAGAACCCAGGCTCCATACACTGTGATTTTTAGCCCTGTGAGCCCAAGTCAATTGGCCCGGGCCCAGCCTCGCAGCTGTGGGTTTTTCATTGCAATGCAGACGTGTCCCCAGAGACACAGAGATGACCTGGGGCAGACAAAGGAACAGCTTGGCTCAAGGGAGGCCTGGCGCTGGTCAGCCTGAACTCGCTCTTCACTTTTTCTTCTCTGTGCCAAGCTAGGATCTCTCGGAGCCTGTGTGCCAACTGGGTAATAAAACTGTCCCCTTGGCTTGAACAGGCTACCTGGTGTCACTGACGCTCTTCACTGAGCATGGTGCCCCAAAGGGCACAGCACAGGCCTCCCCCAGATTTGCTGCAGAGAGACAGGCAGGGCTGGTGCCCAAAGACCAAGTTTTGCGCCTACCCTGTGTAACTGTGTGGTCCTTGGGACCCATCACACTGAAGGGGTCACTCCCAAGGGACTGGCTACAGGAGGAGCATAGGCCAGACTCTGTGGCTCTGTGACAGGGATGCCAGAGACCAGGCCCACCTGCAATGATTCACCTGCCAGAGCTCTTACTCCTCAGCTGCAGCGGGAGGAGAGGAGCATGGGTTGGGGGCGGTGCCATGGGAGCTGTAGTAAGAGGAGGCCCTGAGATATAAACCTTGGTATCAGAGGCCTGGTATGAGGCCTAAGGCCTGAACTAAAGTAATGGTCAAGACTTTGCTAACATAAAGCAAAGTTAAGCTGTGAGCCAGAGGCAGGCCCTGCTCACAGAAGCTGGCAGGAAAAGGGCTAATGTTGCATAAATATATATTCCCCCAGCAAAGTTAAAGTACAGAACACACTATACTGGAGCATTCCACAGATAACATGGAACAGGCCGACCCATCCCAATGACAGGGACAAAAGGGTAAAATGATGAATAAAGTTGTTTTGATCGAACCAATCTGTACAAGGTGAGAGGCGGCACCTTGCTACGTAGAGGGGTTGCACCTCAATACGTCAGGAGTGATGTGTAACTTGTTTGTACCTGTGTATAAGAATGTATCCCTGGGGTGGTGTCTTTGTCCGGCCGAGGGGGCAGTGGAAAGTCCCGCCACTGACTGAGCCGGGTCCATTGCCAAGAGGCATCTATTAGTAGTATGCCCGGTAGACTAAGTAATCTACGGGGAACTGCAATTGTGTCAGAGGTTGCAATAAACCTACTCGACGTGACTTTGCATCTTACTAGACTCTGTGGTTATTGGGGGTTCTCGTCGGGTTTGCTGTGTCAGCTATCTGCAGAGCTGGGGCAGCACACAGAGGGAACACACGCACGCAGCCGCGTGATATCAACATAGGAGAAAGCAGAGCACCACACCGGTAGCATCTGACAACACTTCAGCTGGGCTACAGCCAGGCTTCTGGGCAGGGAGGGGACAGGGATTAGAGCACTACACTGGAGCTGGCAGAGCCATCAACGCTTTCACTGCCAGCACCCACGGACTCCCCAGCCTGGGCCAGTGCATGGTTCTCTGCCCCAGCCCCATACCTTGCGCATGATCTTGCGCCCGTAGAACAGCACTTTGTCCCGCTTGCGGAATCGATACTTGGGTGTCTCCTGAGCCTGAACCTCTGAGAGAGAAAGAGGGAGACATGAAAGGTTACCAGTGCAGGGAACCCGGGGCCCCACCGCAGCAAGGGTTGGAGCCTGTCCCCTTCCCCACCAATCTGACTCCCTGCTTGCGCTCCTCATTGCAGCCACCCCCCAGTCCAGGGAGTGGTGCAGAGGCCTTGGGGGTACAGATGGCAGAGTTCTGCCTGCCCCCACCCCCCCACTCCAGCCCCTGGAAGCTGGGCTGCCCCCAAAGAACCCCAGGAGCTTTATGCCCTTCCCAACCAGTCCCTGGATACCCCTCACAATCCCTTTGTATGTAGGGAAACTGAGGCACAGGGCCGTGAAGGGACTTGCCCAGGCAGTGACTCAGTAGGAGAGAACCCAGGAGTCCTGGTTTTCAGCCCCCTGCTCTAGCTATTACGGTCTCACTGCCTACACAGGCCTGCAGACACTAAGCCCAAGACATCCTGATGGGCAGCAGCATGCCAGAGCCATGGCTGCGAAAGGGATCAGATTTGCTTCCTGCAGGGATGGGCACTTACTCTTGAGGCGCAGCCTGCGGACCAGCACCAGGATCAAGGTGGCGATGAGCAACATGGAAACACCAACGCCAATCATGACACCCAGCACCTATGGGAAGAGGCATGTTCCAGACCAGGCTTCCAGACAGGCCGTGGGTGGGTCCAAGGCAGCACCAGCCACGCTCTGGGGGACTGACCGGGGCAGGCAAGAGTAGCCCTCGCCCTGTGGAGCAGTTGTGTGGAGGTGGAAATTCAGGCAATATTTTTATGAGCAGTGTATGCCTCAGTTTCCCTGTGGGCTTTGTCCTGCTATTCAGTGAGTGGGAAAGGGAAGGCACAAAGTGTCTGACTCAATAAGCCACCTGCCTGGAGACCAGCATCATTCACATGAACTGAACCAATCCTACTGTCAGGGAGCCACAGGATCAGTGCTAGGCCCCCAGCTTTGGACCACTCTCTTGGAGGAACCCCTTTGATGTGGAGATCCCCAGGGGACATAGCGGGGGGGGGGCACATGCAGTCATGTGCCCCCCCTCCCTCATTTCTACCAGGGTTCACACCGGAACCTTTACTTTGTGCCCCGACCCGAGCAACAGAAAGGCGTCACCTCTGCCTGACAGAAACCCGGGAGGGCTCAGGGCAGCGGGGATGGTCTCCGAGTCTGGCTTCCAGGGTGCATCTCCCTCAAGCAGCTTGCCCTGCTCCAGCAGTATGGCTCTGAGGGGCTCTAAGCGCTTCACAAGCCGCAGCACCCACTGGGAGCGAAGTGGGGATCCCCATCAGAGAGAGGAGAGGGGGAAGCCTTGGCATTTAACCTCCTGCAGCTGTGTGGGCACATGTGTGTGCAGGGGCTGCACCTGCAGCCCTCAGACCTGGGCCCAGTTGCCTTGTCCAACCTCACAGAGTCCATCCCGGAGCCAGGAATACAGCGTTGGGGGCTGGGATCCTGCAGCCAAAGGCCAGGCAGGACTGGCCAAGGCAGGTTGGGGAGGGGCGGGCAAGGAGCTGGCAAGTTACCCTGCATTGCACTGAAGAAGGCACCGTGAGTGACTGTGAAGCCGTGCTGCAGCCCACAAGGCCGTATGGCGTGCTTCCTCGCCACGTGTCACCTCTGCCTCTGCAGGCCACATAGCCTCACCGCCTCCTGAGGCTGAACTGCTGCAGCGGCATCAGCACTCCAGCTTCACCCTATGAGCTCTGCTCAGCGAATCCAACTGAGAGATTCCTGGTAGAGTCCACTCCGCAGGGACCAATGCACCAGAGACACTCACACAGGCGGGCTTATTAGGCAGCTGGAACCCAGCATGGGAAGTGCTCGGGTCACCATAAGCGTTAAAGCACAGGCAGATCCCGTCAGCCCAGAGCAATGGCCTGCCAGCTGTCTCTGACTCCCTTCCTTAGGCCAAGCAGTGAGAGCTCCAAGCCTCTTCCAGAAGAGCACTCTTTTCCCCCCAGCTCCCACCACCCAGTCCTTTGGTCTCGAGCCAGGGTCTCTGCTCAGCTTCCCTCTGAGAGGTGGTGGGGCACTGGTTGCCAGTTGTCAATGTGCTGGTGACCGGGGTTTTCCATTGATATGAGTTGGCCTCAGCCAGTCCTTTCTAATGACCACTTCAGTCTGCTCAGACAGTGAGAACACACACACACACCCCTACTTCCCCCTCCATGTCATGTCTCTCAGTCTGCCCTGAGAGCAAACAATCCTTTTCCCCCACTGGGTAGCCATGCAAAATATAGGGGAAACTGAGGCAGGCAGGACTCAAAAATATTACAAAAAATTCCCATTTCGTCACACCTGCCCCTGTGGTGGAGGATCCCAAAGAGACAACAGAGCCCAAGGACTGGGCCGTTCACAGTTAAGCCGAGGCAGACTGGACATGGGCAAACAGCCTGGCTGGAGACCAAGGGAGGGTGGGGAAACAGATAGCTGCAGGGTTCTTCTGGGAGCAGAGACTTCAAACGGGGAGAACACGAGGATGGAGCTCAAAGGATCAGGACATGGCACAGCCCTGGTTCCCACCAAGACAAACTGTCCCATGCTCACCTGTCACATGCTAACCTAAGGGTCCCCAACACCATATTCCAGGTGATTAGTAACTACCCCCTCTCTGGAAAGGTCGCACAGTGTCACTGCAGGTATTGGCTGATGCAGCAATCCCTGACAGGGAAAACGTCCCCAAACATGAGCTCACTGTGAGCAGCAGGGGAGGCTGGAGCCCAGAGGCCCAGACTCAGAGGTGCTGAGGCTGTGTGGCTTGCCCTGCTGAGTCAATGTGACCCCTGGGATCTGATGCATTACAGGGGTCACCCCCAGAAGGCTATGCAAAGGGTGCAGCACAGCACAGACTGTGTGAATCAGTAACAGCCGGTCCCACCATATAGTGCAGCACCACAAGCCAAGCACCTGACCTGCACAGGCTGCGACTGCATGGGCCACATCACAGGGAGAGGGGCTGCACTGCAGGGTGCCAGGGGCTGTACAGTAGCTGGGCTGGCTGCTCCATCAGCAATGCTGCCCCAGGCCAGGTCTTGGGCGAGTAGGGAGAGCTCCTCACAGGGATTTCCCTACACCCCCCCTGAATTTCCCCAACACCCCCCCACCCCCCAGTTTTGTGAACTAGTTACATGCCGTGTTGTTCATTTAGTGATTGTTTGGAAATTTGAATTGAAATGGAAACATTAATACACACTTTAAAAGCATATAAAGTATATCATAAAATACGTGTATCTGAAAATGTCTAGTCGATTTGAAAAGTATGAACATAGACTAGCTCCCTTATACAGCTGTTGTTTTTTATGACAATGTCAGTGCATTTATTTTGGTGATGTTGGCCAACCTAATAATTTTAAATTATGATTTTTAAGCAAAGTCTAAATGAGCTCTCCCTGACAGCTAGTGATGAGCTGGGGGGAAAGGCTTCAGGATCAGATTGTATTTATATTCACGCCTAATCTACCTAAGTATCCAGCACACAGAGCTGTGTTGCCTGAGGGCACGTCTTCACTACCCGCCGGATCGGCGGGTAGCGATCGATCTATCGGGGATCGATTTATCGCATCGAGTGTAGACGCGATAAAATCGATCCCCGATCGCTCTGCCATCGACTCCGGAACTCCACCGCAGCGAGAGGCGGAAGCGGAGTCGACGGGGGAGCGGCAGCGGTCGACTCGCCGCCGTCCTCACAGCCAGGTAAGTCGACGTAAAATACGCAACTTCAGCTAAGCTATTCGCGTAGCTGAAGTTGCGTATCTTAGGTCGACACCCCCCCCTCCCCCCATAGTGTAGACCTAGCCCAAGTGATAGATTTTGGCTGGGGTTGGGTTACAAATCATTTGAATGCGGGGAGGTAATGAAATGTTGCTATTCTTATTATATGAGTAAAGGGCAGTAGAACTGTACTTAGCCTGTGCTGATTGAGGGCATCAAGAGAGAGGGTGGGGACAGGTGTTCTGCTTGATGGTCTGCCTGAGTCACAAGTACTATTTGACCTGCCCCCTCCACTGTTTAAAGACAGAGCTGATTAGGCTCCATAGATAGTCTTTTGTTTTGTTAAGTGACCACTACAGCTGAAATCACCGATAATCAGGTCTAAGTGCTTAGACCTGCTGTGGGACAGTGTTTCTGTGGAAGAGACGGGCCCAGACTGCACTAGCAGCGAGGTTCCACCACTGAGAGCTCAGCTGAAATCACTAAGAGCTGGTGGAACCTCAAGAGACCAACTCACAGAGGTCACAGTGGCAGGTGGCAGCAGAAGGTGACAGCGCAGGGCCATTGGCAACAGAGCAAGGGAGTGAACGGAGGCACAATGAACAACAGTGGCCAGAGCGAACAGTGAGCAGCTGGAGGAACGAGCAAGGTGCCTTCTTGCCCCCCACGTGGAAGGTGAACTCACGTGAAAGCACCTCTGAACTCTGAGTCTCCACTGACCAAGGACAACACCGGTGAGTGTTAATGAGGCTATTAAGAATGCTGGAGACACATCATACTTTCTATTTAAGCAAGAGATATCACGCACTACAAACTGGAGGCCAATATTAAGTGCATTGTCATCCTGAAGTTGAACACTGGTTCCGAACAAGACCAGCAAATGCTCACTATCTCAACTCAACTGACTGGCTAGAAGCATGAGGTGTAACAGTGAAAGACTCAACAGTTGAAAAAGTGAAGAACTCTCTTACCACATTCAAAAATTTGCATACATGGCTGATGAATGCACCGATGCAAATGGGCATCAAGTATTAAGTCATATGTTATCTTGATGTCAGTGGTAGGCCAGTAAATGCATTTCTAGATGTTCAAGCTATAGAAGACACATCAGCTGCATCTGTGACAACCTACATCTTAGAAGAGTAAAATGCTTGTCATTTGGACCCCAAACAGATGGCTGCTTGTGCATTTGATGGAGCTGCAAACTTCACTGGAAGACATGGTGGAGTACAAGCTTTGCTCAGAGAAAAGTGTAACCCTAATCTCTCCTATACACACTGCATTTACATTTACTCCAACTAGCGCTAGTATGAGCTGCAGACTCTTCAAAAGACATTAAAAAAAGCTATAAATTTAATGTCTTCATTATATCCTTTTTTCAGCAAGAGTCCAAAAAGACTGAATATCTTGGAAAATAGAGAAGATACACTGGGACTGAAGTTCAAATTAGTCCAACCTGGGAAAACCCGCTGGCTTTCTCATGACTGATCTTTGGCTCTTGTCTTAAAATTACTCCAGCTGTTATTACTGGCTTTGGAAAGTATCTACCAAGATGGGATGGATCTAAGTAGTGAGGCTGGTGGATTACTTTTGCTACTACGTTCAGAGAAGACTATTGCCATTCTCTCTCTTGTAAGTCTACCGCTGAAATCACTTGGGTCATTAAACAATGCCATCCAGGCATCTGCTACAACAGTAATAGATCTTTGTCCAGCAATAGAAGCTACATTTGGATCAATCAGAGAGCTATCCATAGAAAAAGTACTGGAAGAAGCAAAGACTTCAGTCCAGAAGTTGACTAATGAAGGCATTTATATTGAATCCTTAAGTGAAGAGGACAAGAAGTGTTTGTTAAGACAACTGAAAAAGTACATAGACTTGATTCTTAAAAATCTACAACAGCGACTTCTAGATTCTACTCACCCTCTACGTAGCTTTTACAGATCCCTGTCCTATAAAACACTGACAGTTGAGTGAAGTGAGGCACTACCAGCAAGGGGGCTGCCATGTGCTCAGGACAGAATAGAGAATTTGAACACAGAGTGGAATATCATACGCGACGAATGAATGAAGATTTGACTTCAACTTCTTTTTTATCATCACTAGTGGCTCAACCCGATCTTTATGCTATGTTTCCTGGGATGAAAGAAGTAGGAATTCATCTCTTGCTACTCCCAGTCACAACAGCTACAGTTGAGTGTTCTTTTTCATCATTGAATAGAATTTTGAGTTCTGAAAGAAGTCGTCTTCTGCCTGATCATGTGAATGAACTAATGAGGATATCAATTGAAGGAATGGAAGTAGTGGACACACAAAAAGCCACCGAAGATGAATGCATTGCATTCTAGAAGTTCATTAACGGAGTTGTGCAAAATTATAACAAGAAACCAAGAAGGATGTAGATGTAGTGCTTCATGGAAGGCTTGAGTAGCCAACTTTAATTTGTGTGATGATTTTAAAACATGAGTTAAATCTAATAAAATGGTCACGAAACATTTTTCAGTTTTTACTATGGTGCCATACAGCCCACCTTCACCCTCATGGTCTCACCGCTCATTGGCCCTGACCTCCCCCCCTGTAAAATCAAACACCCCCACAATTTCAATTCCTGGGAAAAACACTGGCCTCTCCCAGCCTACCCTTCAGCTAGTAACTACTCCCACCTGCCACACACCCCACCCCTGCTGTCGGAGGGACCAATGGGGGCGGGGGGAGGGCAGCCACACACAGCACTAGAGGAATTGGAAGCCAGCAGGCTCCCCACAGCTCAAACCAGGGGGAAATTCTTTCCCAGCCCCTCCCCCCGCCCAAGGACAGTGTCTTTCCCAGCCCCTCCACTCACCAGCCAAGACTCGCCCAGGGATGGCTGAGCCCCAAAAGTGCCAGTGCATTCCTGGGCAAGTACCAGAGCCTCCCATCCCACCAGGAGCTGGGCTGCCTTGGGCCGGGGACCGTGGGCCGGGGACCGTGGGCTATGCCAGCGGGCCAGCACTTCCACTGCCCACGGGAGAGACCACTACACTGCTCCATATCCCCCAGGAACACAATCCCTCCAGGAGACACCACACCTGGCCCCACACCACAGGCACAACCCTCCAGACGCCCCTCCTCACCATGCTGGTCTGGAGCTGATCTTCCACAAAGAGCTTAAGGTTGGGCAGCACGGCTGTGAGCGCTGCATCCTGTGTGGAGAGAGATGCAGAGAGAGCCTCAGCGCCAGCAGGCAGGCTGATGCTGCCATCAAAGCTCACGGGTCCAGCCCTACAGCTGCTCCACCCTACATCTGGGCATAAGGGTCTGTCCATAGCACCTTCCATCCCAACACGCTTTGCTGAGTGTGCAGTGACCACTGGCCCACCACTGAAATGCAGCCACCTCTGGAGTGAGGCTGGCAGCTGTTCAAGGGGCACATAACAGTGCAGAAGTAGAAAGGACATTGAAGTGGAGGGCAAGTCTCCAGCAATCCTGGGACACTGTGCCGTGGGCAGGCCCCAGCAGGCCACACCTACCCAAACACATCCCAGAAGGCCGCTGGGCTCTGGAGAGGCTTCTGCCAAACCCAGTACCTCATCTGGGAAGAAGGTTCCCATGGGAGATGGGGGATTTGTGAAGCTGGAACGTGACCTGGATGCTGGATTTAACATTCCCAAGTCAGAGGGGAGGGGCATCCTGCTGGGGCAAGTGGGGGCCCTGGGGTGGACTCTGACTGGGATGCCAGCCAAGGTGCCCTGCACTAGGGAAGTGTCCCCAGCGCCCAGGAAATGGTACTGGTGGGGAGGGTCTCTTCAGGTCCTTGTCCAGTCAGTGGACAACACCAGCAGGGGGAGCTCTCTGAACATGGGTGGCAGGGGTGGAACGATGGGGTTGAGAGGCTGGGAACTCACTCACTCCAGTGACTGCCAGGCTGCAGAGGACAAACTGCCAGGGGCCCCAGCAAGGAACTGGACAGCACCTACCTCCTGCTCATCCTGAGGCTCAGACTCACTCTGCCCCATGTCTGCTGCTGGCCCCGGTCCCAGGCCTGTCCCAGAAAGGTGCCTGAGAACAAGCAGAGACGTTTATGCTGTGCCCTTTGGGGGAAGCCAGGGTCGACCATGCACAGCTCCCATGACCCCCTAGCACCATAGATCTCCTTACTCACCCTCCCAATAGTTTCCCTCCCTCACAGAGGGCCCCATTGCCCCCCCCCCCCCCGACCTCCCCAAGACAGCACTCTCCCAGCCAGTGTGTTACTTCCTGCTGGTTCCTGGCTGGGAGCACAGGTCATGGGGCAACATGGGGCTGGCCCTTCCCTCCCTGATTCTCAGCCTACTGTCCCTGACCTGAACTGCAGACATACCTGGGGAGCAGCTGGTCCTGTGCGGCTCCCCACCAGTGCTAGCTCCACTGCTGGGGGAAGGAGTGTTGCTGCTTGACCATCTGCCAAGGAGAAAAGTCCCAGGCAGAGTCCAGACCCTGCCCACTCACCTCCTAAGCCAGTGGTGTCCCTGCCCCATTCCAGGGCAGATGGGCCCTCTGCACCTGCCCTCCAAGTCACCTCCTTGTCTATCACCAGACACAGGCAACATGACTCAGACCCAAAGCCCCCTGCCAGCCAGTGCAGCGTGCGGGGTGTGGAGGACAGAGTCCCAGTTCACACTGTGGAAGTGGGCAATTTCCAGCTCAGGACAGGGCTGGGCACTCGGGGTCAGGCCTGTACTGAGACCAAGGGCTGCTTCCCAGCATGGGCAGACTGGTACACATGAGTTAGCCTGCTTCCAATAGCAGCGGGGCCACGGCAGACGGTTGACTCCCACCTGAGTATGTTCCCCGAGGGTGAGTGGGATTGTACTCTGGTGGCCACCCGCACACTGGGGCCACACTGCTATTGTTAGCACACTAGCTTGAGTAGAACTGTGCCTCTGTCTACCTGGCTAGGGAGCAACCTCCTAGCTGTTGTGTAGATAGACGCAGGAAGGGAGAGGCCAGTTAAGGCCACCGAGGCAGTGTGTTGCCTGGGGCAGATGAGGAAGGATGTCCAAGAGGGGTGCCAGCCCCTACAGAGGAGGGGGTAATAAGAGAGACTCACTCATTCCCTCCAGCAGGGACAACCCCCTTCCCCACCCTTGTTAGTAACATTCTCCCCATGCTGTGTTGGCTTCCATCAGACCAGCAATAGCCAGTGGTGCCCCTGCAACCTCTCCTGCCAATGCTGTCCTGCCCCAGCACCCAGTGCGGGCGCAGATCCTGGGCTGAAATGGCTCCAGCAGGACGTTCTCGCTGCACACCAGGACCTCACCGGGAACATGCTTGCTGCAGCTTCGACACACGGGCAGGCCAGGCAAAGCAGCAATACACAGGGACAGCTTAACCTTAGCCAGCCAAGGCAGAGTTCTGTAGTCTCAGGGGAAGGGGATGCTAATAGAGCCCTGGCTGGCCAGGGAGCACATGGGAGAGGCTGTTGGAGGGCCAGGGCCCGCACCAGTCCCCTAGTCAGGGCCGGTGCTACCATTAAGGCAAACTAGGCGGTTGCCTAGGGCGCCAAGATTTGGGGGCGCCAAAAAGCGGTGCCCCCAATTTTTTTTTTACAGCGTTCCTGGGCTGGGCTGCCGGCGGCGTGCTGACATGTGCGGCTCAGACTCCCTCTCCCAGCGCAGCGGCCGCTCCACTTCTCCTGCCTGCCAGACTTGTGGCGCCAATCAGCTGTTTGGGACCGCAAGCCTGGGAGGGGAGGAGAATTAGAGCGGGGGTGGCGTGCTCGGGGAGGAGGCAGAGGTGAGCTGGGGGGGGGGGGGCCCCCCGGGGGGGAGGCGGGGAGCTGCCGCAGGGCTGGGGGGCGCAAGATGGAAGTTTCGCCTAGGGTGCGAAACTTCCTTGCACCGGCCCTGCCCCTAGTGAGGGCCGTTCACCCAGGATTAACCTGGTTCTAACGCTGGACAGGTGTGCTCAGGCCAGCTACTGTTCAGGGTGAGAAAGGAGCTTGAACTCTGGGCCCACTGGGGAAATCCAATTTAGCCCCTCCTCCGTCCCAGGGATTGACACAGCATTTCAGGATAGTGCCCAGCAATGTGTCTGGCAGCCAGTGCTGAGGAGCAGGGGCTGGTTGGTGTGCAAGCTGTGGGAGAAGGAGCCCAGGCGTAGGTCATGTTTTGAACCTGGGTAACTAAAGCTGTGTGAATGGACTCCTGTGAGCGCCTCACCCCCTTCCGCTCGCAGGAGATTGTGCAAGACAGTTCACCCCAAGGCACTTCCTCAAGGCTCTGGGCTGCACTGCGGGGGCACTGTGCAGAGTGCAGACCCCTCAGCCATGGGGACAATACCCGTATCCCGGTGCCCCAGGCTCGGTGATGGGCTGCAGAGCCAGCGGCTTGGAAAGCCTCCCCTGCGAGCCGCTCCCGGGTTAGAGCGGGCTGCGCCCAGCCCATGCAGCAGAGCGCCGGGGACGTCACTGCGGTCTAATTCCCCGCCCCCCTGCTCCTCTCTGCTGTTTCCCGGACAGTTCCTGCCAGCCACAGCATTTAGCACAGAGCTGCAGGAAGGAGGCCCCATGCGGTTAGCTACCAGCTGCCCTCCTCCCTGCCCTGGCCTCCAGCGCTAGCGGACTCGCAGAGCACAGCGGCTGCATGGGCGGGGGGAAGGGTCAGGACCCCGCTAACAGCAGCCCCCAGGTTATACCGAGAGCTGCAGAGGCAGGACAGAACAGCGGGTGCCTGCAGAGACCCAACTCCCCCGCTCACTCCCTGCCCAGAGGGGTTACAGCCCTGCACCTCCCTTGCCGTCAAACCACCCCATTCCACCCAAAGAGTCGCTTCCTTTGCTCAACCCAGCAGTCCCAGGTCTCAGCAAGTTCTATCCCCTCCTCCTCCACACACGCTCCCCGGGTCTGGGCTCCCAGCATTGGGGAGCATTTCTCCAGGGACTGCACTCAGTTACCCCTATGCCTCTGGGTTTCCTCCAGCTTTCCACCCCCTCACCCCACAAGGCACTGCCTGTGGCCAGCCCACCCTTACCAGTCATGAGCTGGTAGCTCCTGCTGCAGGCATACCCTTCACCCCCACGGCCCTAGGGTCTCACCCAGGAGTTTTGCTCCTTGGGCAGGGTCAGCTGTGGGCAAGGCAGAGAGCCGCACACTTACAGAGCTGCAGCCATGCCAGCATCTCTGCATCCCTCTTGCCATATCAGGGCTCCCCACCCCCTGCTCCAGTTGGGCAATGCCCCTGTGCTGCAGGCCCTGCTCTGGGGGTCCCATCTCAGCCTGCCATCTCTGGCAGCTCCTGGACCCTGCACCTTTGCTTCCACTACCGTCCTGGCCCCATTTCTCCCTCCAGCCTCTCCCCCACTGGCAACTCACTGTCTGGTTCACCCCCACCCTCATTTGTGGTTTGGTCCTAACCGCGGCCCAGGAAATGCCTCAACGATGGACATGCGGTGAGCTCTGAGTGTTCCATCAACCCATCCCCCTTTCTGTGCAGCACATGAGCAGGGCTAATGCGGGGCCATCACAGGGAGGTGGTGCATGGTACCAACCACAGAGTCTGGTCAATACCCTGCCCCAGTCCTGTGAGACCTGTGGGCAAGCCCCCCCAATCTTCGCCACCAAGGTTACAGGTTCGCTTGGACTCTCATCAGTGAATGTCACCGTGTCAGATCCTACAGAGTGCTTGGTAATGGGAATATCTCCAGAGCACAGATACGGCAACCCAGGTGCTACATTCATTTAGATCTGCCTGGACTTGGTTTAGGATGAGTGCTCGCAGCCAGCACATCGCCAGCTCCATCTGTCAAGGCCCCCCACCATCCAACTGCAGCACAATGCTGGTGGGCTCCACCCCAGCCAGCGACAGAGCAAGCCCTTCCCACCGCACACAGAATTTGCTGCCTGCAGTTCATCACAGGGAAATCTCGGTGGAGGAGTTGGACTTGCCAAGCCCCGGAGGCTGCAGCAGTTGCTGTGCTACAATCAGTAAGGTTTCTAGCTGGCTTTTTCCAATTAGCCACATGCCTCATGCAGGTAGGAGCAGCACAGCGACCATGAGAAGGGGGCCTAGGGCTGGCCCCTGTGCCCTTTGAATCAGTCACACAGCTCCCACTGAGCTCAGGGAGGCAGAATCAAAGCCTTGCTGAGCACAAGCAGCACCAAGGGTTCATGGAGAATAGGCCCACCAATGGCTATTAGCCAAGATGGTCAGGGAGGCAACCCCGGGTGTCCTAAGCCTCTAACTGCCAGAAGCTGGGACTAGACGATGGGATGGATCACTCAGTAATTGCCCTGTTCTGTTCATTCCCTCTGAAGCACCTGGCACCGGCCACTGTCAGAAGGCAGGATGGACCATTGTGCTGACCCAGCGTGGCCATTCTTATGTTCTTAAGATACAAAGACTGACTTTAGAGAACTGGCCTGGAGAGCAGGCCCCCGCTGCCCCAGTGGCAGAGCCCTTGCCCCACCTCCAGAGTTTATTCTCCACATCACAGCATAGGGACCCACCTTGTGGGACTCAAACAGCTGCACCGATTTTGCTCAAACATTGAAATAAAACCACTCACCACCATCAGGCGAACGCCAGGTGGCAAAGCTCCGGTCCCAAGATGACAGCGTGAAGCAGGGTTCAAATCAGAGTCCCAGTTTTACAGTAACACTGGCATGGCAGTCGATTGCAGGTCACCAAAGCTCAGGCTCCAGGCCCAGCAGTGCCCTCACACTGTAGCCCCCTTATCGGCCAGGAAGAGGCTACAGATCACTAGGGTGAGGGATCAATGAACAGCAGCCGCCCTCTATCCCACACAGGCTCACAGACTAGCCCGTGATGCTGTTACTAGCCTCCCAAGGGACAAAGGGTGTTGGATCAATGGGACCCAGATTCCTGCCAGGGCAGCCATCTCCTCTCACTCCAAAGCTCTGGCGCAGAAGGAAAGGCTGCCTGGGGAGGACCCCTTGGCAGGGAGCTTTGCTCAGGACGCGAGGGTCCCTCCTCCGGCTCTCATTCAGGGTGCCCACTGAGGCCTGGGGCAGAAGCAGTCGGGTTAATCCAGCTGTTGATTGCCTTTGCACTGCAGCAACA